ACCGTGTGTCAGATCCCGGAGCCAAGCTAAGGCTCGGTGAAAAACTCGTAAGCATTCTAGTTCCCATTTTAGGCTGTGGACTGTGAACCAGGCTATCGAGTCACGGCTATCCGTCGGACGAAGACCTACTATAACGTGCTTGGATCTATAACTATCGAATGTGAACAGGTAGGAATAATGATTTACACATTCTGGTTGCAATTAATGTTCCATATCTAATGTTAGATTTACTTCTCAGAAGAGTTGGCTATAGGGAACTTCGGGTTAGTTGGGTATGGATTGGGTTAGCGTCCCCGAAACAGCCTCTGTTTAATGTAGACAGCCCCGCTGCAAGAAGAGAGAAGCAGAGGAGGGGGGGGGGGTGCTCTATATGATACCATAATTCTGGAGACCATTGCGCACAATAGTCATAACCTGCGGTTACTGCAATTCGCGGACCGACTTACAATTTGACTTGCAACCTGGCTGTTTCTGGCATCTGTACGAATTCTATCACAACCATTACCCGTGGGGCATATGCCTATCTTTGGGATACATGTTCCTCTGTGAGGTTTCAACCCTTTTATTCACCTTCGGAAGGTTGTAAGTTCTGCCGTGTTCAGTAGATGCAGTCTTGTTCGCTGTGGCTTTTCAAGGGGCTGGGTGTGGTGGTACGAGCCTATTCTCCACCAATTCTGGAAGCTGGCAGGCGATCACAGTTGGTGTAAAACAGGCTGGCGCCGCGCCAAACCCAGCATCCCCAGTGAAGCGCCCAAGCGTCTGCAGAGAACAAGACTGCAATCCTTTTGTGCCAGACAAGTGCTAAACGTTTGTACAAGAGCGCTCTACGTCCTTATTTTGCCACCCCATGCACCTTTGCTCAAAATTTCGCAATAAAAGTATTACAAAATTGGGATACGTAGTAAGCTTGTGAAAGGAAGCGGGGGGGAGAGTGGATGGAGCATTGGAAATATTTTTTGCGCGAGTGTAGAATAACCTCATACAAATGGAAGTACCGCCCTTTTCATTGGCTCACCAGGCGAGGAGTTCCTCTCTATAGCATTAGGCAAGTGCCCTCAACTCCATTGCGGGAAGCCCCTTTTTGCAAAGGAGCCCCCTAAATGCTTCTCGAGGTTATCAGCGCCTGAGACTTGTTTTCATGAGCCTCTATTCTATTGAACCCACGAAATCGTGTTTCTCTTCAGATTGCCCGCCCTGAAACCGTAAGCTGCGCCAAGCAACCCAGCATACCGAGGTGCAATGGTCAGATGGAAGGTAAGTTTCTACCATTCAGGTGTGTCATTTTGGAAGGGAAGCATTAGTTCTGAAGGGGTGCTACGGTGGGCTACTAAGCCACATCATTTCTGTTCTTGTTTCTCTCAAGAGAAAACTGGGGTCAATAGCCATTGTGGGCAAAAGACGCAGCAAGACAAGACGAAAGGATACAGATATGGATGGCATGGCCGCGCTGCCGCCTGGCTCCCCGTCCCCCTCCCCTAACAACCTTTGCCCAATAATAAGTGATTACTGTGCACGATAGAGTTAAAACAATGATTTTCATGTTGCGTCGGTGACACCTGGCTCGCAGGCTTCCACTCGTACCTACTGGAGAACGCTACGCAAGTGATTGTGTGAGTAATATTTCTCGACTGTTCGACATAAATATCATATTTTTTATGTTTCTGAAGCGGAAACATTTCCGGGCTCTGAGCTACGGAAGAGGGCGGTAA